AGAAAGAAGAAAGAAAGAAAGAAAGAAAGAAAGAAAGAAAGAAAGAAAGAAAGAAAGAAAGAAAGAAAGAAAGAAGTTAAGATGAATAAAAGAGAAAAAAAAGAATTATGCAAAATGAGAATAGACTTAGGGAACTCAGTGGCTCCATGAAATGTAGTAAATTCACATTATCGGATTCCTGGGAGAAGGGAGAGAAGGGGGGCAGAATAACAGCTGAAAACATCCCTAATTTGGGGAAGGAAACATGTCCAGATGCATGAGTCACATAGAACTTCCAAGAAAACCAACAAAATCATACACCAAGACATATTATATAATTAAATTGGCAAAGTAGAGTGATAAAGAAAAAAATTTTAAAAGCAGCAAGACAAAAGAATACAGTTACATATAACAGATATCCCATAAGGCTATCAGAGGATTTTCCTTTTTTTTTTTTTTATTTTGAGAAGTGGGGGGAGAGAGCACAAGTTGGGGGTCAACAGAGTGAGAGAGAATCTTGAGCAGACTACATGCCCATTGTGGAGCCTGCAGGAGGTCTCAGTTGCACAACTCTGAGATTATAACCTAAGCTGAAATCAAGAGTCAAAATTTGATTCGACTTGCTTGTCAAAAAGTCAGTACAGGAAAAAAAAAAAAAAGTCAGTACAGGGGCACCTGGATGGCTCAGGCAGTTAAGTGTGTGCCTTCAGCTCAGGTCATGATCTCAGGTCCGGGGACCAAGCCCCATGTTGGGCTCCCTGCTTGGCAGGGAGTCTGGTTCTCTCTCTCCCTCTGCTTCTCCCCTGCCTCATGGTCTCTCTCTTTCAAATAAATATATAAAATCTTTTAAAAAACTCAGAACAGAGTAAACACAACTAAAAAGGAAACCATAAAGAGGTAATTAATGATAAAACAGAAAAAAGATCAACAAAATTAGAAGCTCCTTCTTTTAAAATACTAAGAAGCAAATCTGTAGACTAATAAAAACAGTACATATGAAGTAATTTTACACACGCAAAAAAGGAAAAAAATTAAACATAAAAGAGGTTTTAAAATACAAGAAGATGCTATAAAAGATGTACTGGAAAATTTTTGGCTTCTAGACTGACTCAAGAGGGAAAAAAATCTGATGAGTCCAATAACCATTAAGAAAAATTAGTAGTCAAAAAGACCTAGACTGCAAAAAACCAACACCAGAACCAAACCTTTGCAGAGAGAAAAGGGAAAAGCACACTAAGTTTGCAAATAAATAAAATTTGCAAAATAAAATATAGAAGAATATCTTTAAAGGTAACTGCACAGAGAAAAAAATATTTTAAAAATAATATAACAAAATATATAAACCTTAAAGGAACCTAGTTAATTTATAGCAGAGAGAAAAACACAGTACTTTTCAACACTGAAAACATAAAAAACAAAGCTATTTATAAAAGATATGCAAATTAAAGTTCTATGAGATACCATGTTGTTTCCATTAGATTTTCTTTTCTTTTTTATTTTTTAAAGATTTTACTTATTTACTCACAAGAGACGCAGAGAGAGAGAGAGAGAGAAGCAGAGACACAGGCAGAGGGAGAAGCAGGCTCCCTGCAGGGAGCCCGATGTGGGACTCAATCCCAGGACTCCAGGGGCAAAAGCAGGCGCTAAACCGCTAAACCACTGAGCCACCCGGGCTGCCCTCCATTAGATTTTAAAAAAATCAACAAAAATCTGATTGGCAAGGAGATATTTTTGGGTGGCAACACAACACAATGGTACAACCATTTGGACAATGGTGGTCAAGTTGAAAATATACATGCCTTATGATGAATCAATTCTACTTCCAGCTATATAAACTAAACACCTCTTCCATATGTGAATAGTGAGCTAGGGGCATGTAGGTTGGCTCAGTAGGTTCAGCATCTGCTTTTGGTTCAGATCATGATCCTGGAGTCCTGGGACCACGCCCCACATCAGGCTCCCTGCTCAGTGGAGAGTCTGCTTCTCCCTCAACCTCTGCCCTCACTCTCCCCACCCATGATCTCTTTTACTGTCACTCATTATTTCTCTCAAATAAATAAATAAAATCCTAAAAAAAAAAAAAAAAAAAAAACGGTATTCAAACTCAAGGTATTGTTATTGCCCAAAAAAGCAATGAATGTAAATAGCTATTAACAGAATGAATAAATTTTTATTCAAAGCATTAATAAAGAAGTGAAAATAACAAATTAGAACTTCACTTCACTTATTGATCTTAGTAAATCCCAAAAAATGCTGTGAAAAAAAAAGTAATAGTTGCATATGATATATAGTGGCATTTATTTAAAGTTCAAAACAAAAAATAAAGTTCAAAACATATAATGGATACCAAATGCATAGTTAAAGCACAAAAATATACAACTTACAGCTTTAGAAGAGTGGTTAATTCTGAAATGTGGGAAGGCAGAATAGGATAAGAATGTATTAAGTTTATCTTCACGTTTAATTCCTTTTTTAAAAAGTTGGAAACACGTTAACAACTATCATTTAATTGCTAAATATATAATATTTATTAAATCTCAATGTAAAACAAAAATTGTAACTTATTTTCTACACATTCATGTATAAAATAGTTGATAGTTTAGAAAAATAAATCTAGAGAATTAAGTAAAAGAGGAAAAGGTAAAACCATCAACCAATTAAAAAAAAGTTTAAAACTGTATGGATCTATATTACTATCATAAAACATGCTTAATGTTTTCTAATCCTTGATTAAAAAAAGAATTCGAGCCCACTGAAGAAAACTACAGAAACAGGTATTAGAGGTGCACCTGGTTGGCTCAGTCAGTAGAACATGCTACTACTGATCTCAGGGTTGTGAGTTCAAGCCCCATATTGGGTGTAGAGATTACTTAAAAATAAAATATTTTTAGGAAAGAAAGGAAAGGAAGGAAAGGAAGAAAGGGAAGGAAGGAAGGAAGGAAGGAAGGAAGGAAGGAAGGAAGGAAGAGAAAGAAAGAAAGAAAAAGAAAGAAAGAAAGAAAGAAGAAAGAAAGAAAGAAAGAAAGAAAGAAAGAAAGAAAGAAAGAAAGAAAGAAAGAAAGAAAGAAAGAAAGAAAGAAAGAAAGAAAGAAAGAAAAACAGGTACATGAAGTAGAGGGAGAAACTGCCTTTAATTGCATCACCCAGAAATAATGTCTATTCTCATTTTAATTTCTGCCAACATTTTAATGTTTCACTTTTCAGTTAGTTCTTAATATGGTTGAAATAATTCTATGAAAAAACACTTTTGCACCTCACTTTTTAAATCTGACATTTGAATATAAGCACTTTCTCCAAATTGTTAAGCAATTCTCTATAAATAATTATTTAAAATACCCCAAAATACTTGGTCATAGGAGTAAGTTAATTACTTTTTTTAAAGATTTATTTATTTGAGATGGGGGGCACACACGTTGTTGGGGAGGGGCAGAGGGAGAGAGAGACAAGCAGCCTCTCTACAGAGCAGGGAGCCTGATGCAGGCTTGATCCCAGGTCCCTGAGATCAAGATCTGAGCCGGAATTAAGAGTTGAATGCTTAACCAACTGGGCCAATCAGGCCTCATTTTTTTAAACCATTACTCTATATTAAGCAAATGTTCAAAACTGTGGTTTAATTCTTTTATTGTAAATAAAGCAAGAATGCTTATCTTTGTGCATAAATTTCTGTCCACATTTTTAATTTTTTTAAATAGGCTCTATACCCAGTGTGGAGCCCAATGAAGGGTTTGAACTCACCACCCTGAGATCAAGACCTGAGCTGTAACCAAGAGTCAGACACTTAACCAACTGAGCCACCCAGGTACCCCTCCACATTTCTAATTTTAAGGTAAATTCTGGAAATATTGGATAGAGGATGTAAATAAACCTGACACAGGGAGGTTTATATTAATTTACAGAGATATATGAAAATATTTGTTTTTGTTGCTTGAATGGTATCAAACTAGTTTATCACTTAAGAAAATCTTTCCTAGGAAATTAGTGGTATCCCAACTATTGTAGTTTGTACTTCTATGCTGGAATTGACTGCATTCATGTAATTTTAGGGTATTTATTTTATATCTTGTATGAATAGCCTTTTCACATCTTTTCTCCATATTTCTTTCTATAAGCTTTTTAAATATTTAGGATTATTATAGCCCTCTGTCTTGTTCATTATGAATATTATGCCCACTGTAAGGCTTGACTTTTAATTTTGTAGGTTTTTAAAGAAGATTCAAATCTTATATTGTTATATAAATATAATCAACATTTTATTTGTAATTATCTTCATTTGCTCCTCACTTTAGAAGATTTGATAATGATTAAACTTTTAAAATCCGTTACGTTTCCCTTTTTCTGTTGCCATAACGTATTCTGCTGTCTACCCCTAATAATGGTTATAAGCTGAAACCACTGAAAGCACCCCTGAAAACTTCCCTTTCAGGAAGGTAGAGGAATTAGTGTTACCAGGCTAAGAAGACAGAGGCCTTTATCCGGCCTCATTATTCTCATGATCACCAACCAGTACATCCTTCATAAGAACACCTTGAAAACCAGAGGTTAGAGTGTGTTGTTGTCTGTCCAAGCTTTACTGGAAGTTCAAACCTCTTCTTTCTTTCTGGAATCTCTGTACAGTTTTACATTTGACGAGGTTTCAATAAGACAATGTATTTGACAGTACACCATAAAATGTAAAATGCTATATAAATATTACCATGAACAACAATTAATAATAATAGCAGGAGGGAAAGGATAAAAAAGTTTTAAAAATTTTGCTGTGGGGGGATCCCTGGGTGGCTCAGCGGTTTAGCACCTGCCTTCAGCCCAGGGCATGATCCTGGAGACCCGGGATCGAATCCCACATCAGGTTCCCTGCATGGAGCCGGCTTCTTCCTCTGCCTGTGTCTCTGCCCCCAACCCCTCCCGTTTCTCTCTTGGTGTCTCTCATGAATAAACAAATAAAATCTTTAAAAATAAAAATAAAAATTTTGCTGTGGAAGTAATAGAACATGAGACAAAAATAAATTCACTAGAAATCTCACCGAAGATCCAGACCAGCTTCTTTCCAAAGTAAATCCATCAAGCGCAGCATCTGGAGTGTCAACATATCTTGTCGTAAATCTAAGGGAGGCAAAATCCTGCTTTATTATAAAGGCTTTCCATTATTTTCTAACAACATTAATTCAAGATTAGCTAATTCAGCCAGAATTAACTAAAACCACTGACAAATATTATGCTAATATTTCCCCCAAGTTTTAATGTTTATCATATTTATTTTGTTAAATATCAGGTTTTTTGGTTAGCAATGTGCCTGTAACACTATTCCAGAAATTAAGTTAAATAATATTTTTAATTAAGGCACCTGACTGGTTCAGTTGGTAGAGCATGTCATTCTTGATCTTGAGATCAAGGTCATGAGTTCAACCCCATGTTAGGTGTACAGATTACTTAAGGAAAAAACCCTATAGGGACACCTGGATGGCTCAGCAGTTGAGCGTCTGCCTTTGGCTCAAGGCATGACCTGAGATCCGGGATCGAGCCCCACTTCGGGCTCCTTGCAGGGATCCTGCTTCTCCCTCTGCCTCTCTCTCCCTGTGTCTCTCATGAATAAATAAATAAAATCTTTAAAAAAAAAAAAAGAAAGAAAAAAAGAAAAAAAAAACCCTGTATTTTAAATTGTTTACCACATGTAAGCTACTATACTAATTGTATGGATACTGTAATACTATGTAATACAATAATGCTGCGTTCAGCATCCACACAATTCACACTATTAATTTTTTTCTTTCCTGGCTATGGTTAGCAATGCATAGGAAGTTCTTAAAAATCACTTAAGTAATTGTATAATGGGTTACAGAACCGTAATAGTTGATTTATTGTCATATCTAATAATAATTTTCAGCTAACAGAGGGCTGTGAAAGTACTGACTTCCACATAATGACATTCATATGGCCAAATGAGGTTAGAGGTCTAGCAAAACACTGCGAGTTCATTTTAAAATACATATAAGCACCTTTACTTATGTTCCTTTAATTCCTTTTAATAACCAACATAGAAATACTATAATCCTTATGGATATGGAGAACCTGAATTTTTTGTGACTTGTCTATAATCACACAACTAACAAGTGGTGGTTGTCATAACTGCCTTCTGGTTGGTGCAATCACCTCGGAGGCAGTTCTTTTTGAAAATATGGGTCAGTAAGATGCTTTAATTAAAATACAAAACTATGGCAGCAATATCAAAATTGCTACCACTGAAACAGAATATACGAATATACTACTGAAAATATTCTCTTGTACTTCACAAGCTTTTTACCAAAGAATTAAACTCTGTATTTTGCAGGAAAAAAAGGAAAGATTTAGGACATGCCAAATTCAACCTTATGACCATTGATAGCTACCTCTTGGTGGCATCTGCTATATATTTACATATCATCTTTCAGGTAAGGCAAACTGACAACAAATGAAAAATACTAAGGAATTTGGTAATGTAAAAACCTCAGTACATACCATCACCATTTTTAAAAATCACTCCAACTGAATCCTCACCAAACACTTTGTTGTTGTACACGAGCCACAAAGGCTTCATTTTGGAATCCATGTATTTACACTTTTCAACACTGAAATCAAACAAAGGAAAAATTAGCCCTCTTCAACTTAAAGAAATGGCAAGACTGTAATTTTGCCATGATAGATTAGACTTAGGGAAAACCCTCACCTGTTTCATTTAGGTCTGTAGAAGTCAGAACTAGAATATTTTCTCTTGGTAAAAAAGCAACTAGGAAGACAGCTTTGGTTGGCATATAGTAATGTCAGATGGGCTAGACTGAAAACCTAGATTTGTCCTTTTCACTACATACATTTAAAATTCCTATTTTTCTTTCTTTATTTTTCCTTGTGTCATTATACGTAGTCAATAAAAACCAGAATATATCATTGGATTAATATTAGGAATATTATGAGTTCATTCTTGATTTCTTAAAGAGGGATCAATTTTGAACTCTGACATATGGGGGAATACACATCATTACTTTTCCATTAGTACTTTTGAAGGGAATGAAAAAGTGAGAAATAATCTTGCAAATTAATTTAAGATCTCATTTTGAAACAGAAAAATAAATTAGTAAATAATAAATGATGGTTGCCAACATTTTGCATACATAGGATCTAACTCTTAGAAACCAATAATATACAAAACAAATTTAATCACATACAATTGAAAGGAAAATAACTTGTAATAACTTTCATGAACCCCACAGGTAAATTTAGATGGTAAACATACATTCTACAGCACACAAGAATAATCTCTGAGAAATTTAAGATTTTCCTTCTTTAAATATATTGTACTTATGGGGGCTAACAGTTAGGCCTACTGTTCCCGTAGGGCAGTCACTCAGAAATCCTTTCTGCATTGCTATTTTCATGGAAAATTCACTGTGCACAGCAAAGATAGACACTTACTAGAGTTCTGAAAGTATAACACATGGATTCAGAGGCGACTGCAGGTCAGAGAGGGCTTCCCGGTAAGCATTCTGTTTTAAACAAGTATGCATGGCCTCCTTCCCTTTGGCTTTGTTTAGCTTCACTGCATTCAGTTTGATTAAACTATTTAAAGTTTTTAACTTATTGAGTGCTTCAACCTGAAAGAGAAGTTTTCCCACCAACAAAATTTATTTATAAAAATAATATAAAGCACTATTATATCATGTGATTATATTAATTACCATTCCACTCCTTTCGCCAACACAAACACTTGACAACCAGCCAAAGAAAAATTAGTTCTTGGCTTATGACAAACATACTAGATACAATAGAGTAAAAAACATATTTTTATCACTTATTACTTAAAACACTACTTTTCAAAAATGTTCTTTAATCTTTTTCTTAAATGAAATCTTAAAAATCAGAGAAAAGTAAAGGGATATAGATTGTGGTTAAGAAGATAGTATGACAAAGTACTCAGAACTCTACAGCTCACTGAGTAGTAGAATTTGAAATACAATCTGAACCACTCCGTTTGGCCAGCTTCAATAGTATAAGAGGAAAATTCTGCCATTCAACCTTAATATCTAGTTCTTATCATCACTCTGGTATGACATCTTCTTAATATATTCTGATATTCTTTCTATGAATAATATAAAAAAATTACTGTGTAAAAAATATGGTTATAGACAATAGTATTTGTTGTCTAAGTCTACATTACTTGTTTTTATGAGGTAACTCTGGCTATCAAAACTTATGCAAATTAGGGATGCCTGCGTGGCTCAGAGTGTGATCAGACTGTGATCCTGAGTCACACACTGGGCTCCCTGCAGTGTGACTGCTTCTCTCTCTGCCTATATCTCTGCCTCTTTCTGTTGTCTCTCATGAATAAATAAATCTTTAAAAAACAAAAAACACTTATGAAAATTTTAAAAAAAATTTATGCAGTTAGTACAAGGTCAATCAACAGTGGCCAACTGAATCACAAAATTGTTGTTTAAAAGTTAACTTCATTGTTTAATAACTGGGGTCTTTCCATGTCATGTTACATAAAAATCCATTAGAACAGCGCTGGCCAGCCATAAGTCATAAAAAAAGAGTATTTTATTGTTATGTTATTAAAACTGACACAGCTTGTTAATATAAACACAGTTATATTAACATGTAAATTATATATATATAACAAGCATATAAGACATGTATACAACAAACATTATGAACACCTTGGCTTGAATTTCCATGAACAGGAGATTTATTTTACACAATGTTTTCATTTTCAAACTTTGCTTCTATGAAAAGAAACCACTAAGACTCTGTAGGGAGATGAATTCAGTCATGCAGTTTTTATAGACAGGCTGAGGGCTTGCTCACAGGAAACTGGAAGGTTCTATGTAGCTTGATGAAAATCGAGATGGCTGAAGCTTGCCAAGTTAGCCACAGACACTCCATTTCTCAACAGTTTCAGGAGCTGTACAAACACTGGTGAAAAGGGAACCAGTTGAAAAACAGACTGTGCAAACAGGAACTTTTTGAAGTATTTCAAATTTGAATTTCTTCTATGTTTGTACAGTTGGGAATTTTCAGGCCCCATCACTAATTGTGTTGATATTCATTTCCTGGAATAGTGTTGTGAATACCCGTATGGCCATAAGTCAAATACTTGTAAGTGTTTCAACACTCTTTCCATAGGTTTACAGTGATAACAAGAGCTGCCATGTAAAGAGTATATAAAGTCTTCCCCTTGCTACTTATCAATTAAGAGCAAAATTAATGTGATCATACATATGTCAGATGTTTGACATTATAAAAGTCAAACTGAGGTTCCCAGAGAACCAAGGAAATGTACGGTGTGGCTTGATCATGAGTGAGGCCAATGACGTAGGACCTCATCAAGTGGAGCCTTTTAGGCTTTGGTAAAAAGTTTGGGGAAGATCCGCTCTACATGCTAGGTGAGACACTACTGGATTTATGAATCAATTAATAAAGTCAGTTAAAATTCATTCAGTTGAATTTTTTGTGGCAGCTTCAGGATCTGAAGCAAACATCCAGTGACATTCAGGATGAGAAACACAGGTGTGGTACTGTGAACTGTTTTGAATTTACCATATTTCTTGCCATTTTTCTCTCGGTTCTGAGCTCTGGTCTCTTTGTATCAAGCTCCTGATCAAACTGGCTGTCCTTTATAGGGCAGGTCAGATGGAGTTGGCAGATAGTTCCACCCAGAACTAAGCCCTCATCTTTCAGAATATAATTTCCCAGGTGGAAAACCCCAATCTTAGTTCTGTCCCTGGATTCCACATTAGAAATTGCTGACAGTTTAGTCTGCAATTCTCCATTTGTTTGAATCCTTCCCCCAGATTCCATGTTGGGAACTGTGGGAGCTGTAGTTCTCCATTTTATTTGGAATTAGTCCATATTCCATATTCCTTAGGATTTGCTGGTTTATCCCTTCCCCAGTCCAAGGTTCCATGGAACCGGTAGTGCATAGAGGGATTTCTCTTGGCCAGGACACAGTAACATCTCTTGGTCACTACTGATCTATTAAGGTGCACATGTTTGTTTGTCTTGTTTTATATTTATAAAGGCTACTGCTAACAGGGATCTCAGAGGTTAAAAAGCTGCAAAAAATGGGGCAAGCAGTCAAAGGTTGTTAGAGTATCTGTCACTTTAAGAAGCCTCCTCCTGTAATAGGGGTAAGTTGGTCATGGAACAGGTTAGACTGACACTAGGTCACCTGCCAACATCAAGAAAATTTCTGTGCAACAAGGTACACTGTAAAACACACCAAAATTCCCAAACCCATCACATCTCCCTTAGGTATTTGGCTCCAAGAAACCCAAAGGTCTAGCTAAAACAAATAGGATCCTTTAAATCTAAAGAGTTGAGCACACCACCTTTCAGCACAACTGCTTACTTTATGTCTGAGAATTACATGTAGAGGCTGCTTTTAGACAACAGGCTAGAGCAACAGGAATGTAGAACAAGACAAAAGAGCTCACAGTGGACACCTGGCTGAATACAGACCGGCCCATCAGGCAACCCACCTCAAAATAATCCATAAGCTCTAACTGATCAATGGGCTATTTACAACCAGGCACAGTTATGAAAAACTGGGTAATTCCATAGGTCTCCATACCTCCTCACCTTATCCCTTTAAAAACACTCACTGCCTTGTTGCAGATAGTCTCTCTATGCAGTGTATTCAATAAACTTGTATCTCCTTTGTTCTGCCTTGGTGAATCCTTCCACCACATGCCATAACCTTCTACCCTACAATTGCCCCATGTTTAGGGTTCCCCATCCGATTGGGAGACACAACACAATACAGTCCTGGAAATTTCAGATAGCTAGTAAAATGGCAAAGTCTTACTAAAGAAAACCTAGAAATATCATGGCCATTATGGGGAAATTTCCAATTAGAGAAGATATTTAAGAAATGCACTTGAGGGGCACCTGGATGGCTCAGTGATTGAGCATCTCTGCCTTTGGCTCAGGTTGTGATCCTGGAGGCCTGGGATCGAGTCCCACATCAGGCTCCCCATGGGTAATCTGCTTCCCTACATCTCTCTCTGAGTCTCTCATGAATAAATAAATAAAATCTTTAAAAAGAAATGCACTTGAAAGCAAGTGTTCCCAACTCAAATAAATAGAATGGGATATTCACTTATGAGTATGAAGCAGCCTCTAAAAGCTTTCAAAATTCCAAAATAGTTTCACCAAAGGATAAATACAAGAGGCTATTGAAAAATTAAAAAGAAAAAGTATTTAAAATAAAAGATACTGTTTTAAATCTTTGTAAAGATACTGTGGCATAAGACTGTTTTCTCTGGGAGAGAAAGGATCAATAACCACTTGGTCAGGTACTGGAACGAAAGGCTATTGACTGAGGCATAAGACTGACATAATTCCTACTGCTCCCCTCTATTCTTTGGAGTATCCATTCTAATAACCCTCTCTGAACTGCCTTTCCACATTAAAGAGACTATTAAACAGTTAGTTTATAAAATAAGACCAGGCTAAGGGCTACTCTCCTTTATCTTTCACATCTTGCTCAAAGGCTGAACTAAGGGGCCATAGTCAAAGAATTTCTTAAACCCAGGGAGAGAATTGGTTTTTTTTTTCTTTTTCTTTTTTTTAAAGATTTTATTCATTTATTCATGAGAGACACGGGGGGCGGCGGGGGGTGGTGGTGTGTGTGGCACAGACACAGGCAAAGGGAGAAGCAGGCTCCATGCAGGGAGCCCGATGCAGGACTTGATCCCAGGACTCCAGGATCTACGTCCTGGGCCAAAGGCAGGTGCCAAACCGCTGAGCCACCCAGGGATCCCCAGGGAGAGAATTCTGAAAGCAGATTACCTCTGGAGCCCAGTCAAGAGAGGGAAATAAAATTTCACATTGTCCCTTTCGTTTCAGTACCTGACCAAGTGGTTATTGATCCTTTCTCTCCCAGAGAAAACAGTTTCCTTCTTGCTGGTCTTGTTTTATATCCTTAGGCTAGGCTTTTGGCTCACTTGAGATATGCAAGTTTTTCTTTCTTTTAGTTATCTTTAGGAGTGACTCTGATCTTGTGAAGATAATATTTTTTGCATCCACTCTGAAGATGCCTCTTAGGTCAATGGAATTGTTTAATACTGCCAGAAACAGTTAACTGTTTGTCAAGGTTGACACCTGACAAGATATTTGAAAGGACTTAATAACTTTATGATGAGAAATTTGGCCAAACTAGAAGATAATATTCAAAGCTCGACAGGATTTTTTTTTTTTTTTTTGGCCTTCTCCCCTACACTTAACCAGAGGGAAAGAAAAACACTCTTACACAGGTGGACAGGTGTGTCACCCTTTGATATCATTTAAGCAGCAACCCAATTCTTTTGGGAACTGAAAAAGCTGTCCTTGTTTTACAACTCTAGTCTCTACAGGGCCAGAGATGTTGCTCCAGAAACAACTCAAAATCCAGTAATACTTTTTACCAAACTCAAAACCTCTCCAATTTATCTCAGTAGGCTTATAAGTATTATAAATTCTGACTTTAAAAGAACAAAATAGAAGAGCTTGCATTTTTTCCCCCTGTGCCTCTGAGATTATAAATGTTCTACCAGAGTCCTCTCCATTAGACCATCTCTTTGACATGTAAACTTCAGGGAGGTAATTTTTATCA